ATTTTATTATTCTTGACAACGGAAGCAGCTGCATCAACCTGACTTATGTAGTCGAGTCGAATGAAATTAAGCACAGAACCTGGAGGTAAAAAAATCAAGATTGAAGTACAACAAATGTCCTACCATTATCTCTACGAATCTGCTGCATTTCTAGAGAAAATGCACAATATGTAAGCTCCAGAAAAACTTCTCTGTAGCAAAGACAATCAATCTGGGAAACTATCATATATTTATGTAATTTTGAAAACCCACCCTCAACTAGGGAAATGTTAAAAGTATACCACAGAAATTAATATTAACCAGTCAGATTGATTATTTTTGATGGCGCTGATATTTTAAATGTACAAACCTGTGTAAGCAGCCTTTAGGAGCTTTCGACTTAAAAATTACCACCCTACTCTATACTAACACTATTTTCCTACTATCATTTTCTGCTACACCACTACATTTGAATATATGTAGAAAAAAAATATACGCGCTGCATGTGGTGGTTCATAAATGTTTGTATGCATGTAAGCGGTTAAGACTATGGACGCCTAATGGCTAACTGTTGAATATGATTTTTTTTTTTTTTTTGTTTCTTATTTGGTATGGTAGGTAGTTAAGTTAATGTAGTAACACGTGCTTGCAACAGCTGACTGACAACTGCAACTATTTATTTATTTATGTTTGTATTTTTTACTAACACATGGCCATTTAAATGCGGCACCAAAAAGTAGTAATGAAAAATTTCTTTTTTAGTCACATTTTTCTCGTTTGAACATTTCGTTTTTGTTTTCATTGGTTTCTCGTGGTTATGTTTTGTAGTAAAGAAATAAAAATAGATATATAAAGTCAATGAAATAAAAAAATTCACAAGAATCATAAAAGTTTTAAGAAAATAAATTCTCAAAATATAAGTAAAATTAAATTTAAAAAAAAAAATCTGCTAATGCAGCAGAAAGTCAGTCTTATATTTTTTGAACATTTCTTAAATACATATAAGTAGATATATATGTACTATGTAGTTATGTATGCTAAACTCATATAGGGCGCCAAGTAATTTTGCAATGAAATCCTTTTTGTTGTTGTAATGTCAGTACGCTGAGTTAACGAAAATGTTGCATTTAATTCTGAAGGCAGGTAGCGATTTTGGGTAAAAGTGGGGTGAGGCTCAAAAATTTCAGCAAAAATTTCAATATTCAAAATTGAAATTTTTTCACAGCTACAGGACATTTTAGGGTGCTACAGTGTAGTTTTTTTAGTTTCTTCTTTTTTTTGCTATGTAGTCCAGGTTTTCGTTTGTACAAAAAATCAATGTTACAAAAAGAAAAATTTTTACTGCCTCTTTTATTAGCAATTTAAGTCTCTTATGTCAGTTTTCATATTGAATTAGAAACAAAAATAAAATTTTCCACTCAAATTGCTTTCGTAAAACTGGCTATTAATTTTTTAAATAATTTAATTTAAAAAGTGCAGCGGAAACTATGAAAACTTTACTTTAAACGCATATCCTGCAGTTAAACACTTAATTTCAACTAATTTTTAGTATAGCCTGAATTGTGACATATTTTTTTTGAAACTCCTGAGTGTTGAATTTTTAGCATTCAACTTTCTGTTTTTCCGACAAGTATCTCGCAAAACTGCAAATTCAAATTTTTACACAAATAAAAAGTAGAAAAAATTACGTACACATTATTATAATTTTTTTTTTTAAACACAGCACATTTATGTATTTACATACACTGAAGAACTTGTTTGAAGTAATTGGAAAATGAAACAGAAGCTTAGTAAAATTTACAAATATACAAAAATTCAAGCAATTTTTATTTTTTTATTTCACAACACTATTTACATTTAGAGAGGAAAGTATTGATCTGTTTTTTTTTTGTTTATTGAAAGAGAAAAGCTTAACAACTGTATTTTGGAATTGAAACTACAACTGAAAAATAGTGGGTGGTGGTGGTGGACCTGAAAAGCTGATCGATTGTGTGTTAATGAATTTAGCTTACACTGTGAATGCACATGGAAATTTAGGATGCATGTTTGTATGATGGTGTTGGTGTGTAGCGAGTGATTAGGAAAGTGATTAGACACGCTGTTGAATAGCGGTAGCTTTGTTTATTTCTGAAAGAAATGTTACGCACGTTAATAGAAAAATCCATTTTTTTTCTTCTAAAGACCTGCGTCTAATATTCCACTTTTTTATTTCTAGATTTTAATTTTGAAATTTAATTATTCAATAAATAAGCCTGGTTTCCTTACTAAAGCTCGAAAAATTCATATTCGTGGATTTAGCAACCTAAACACAGGAATTGTGTGAAGGTATGTGGTTTTTATATTGTGGCAAGGCTGGGCAAATAAGGCCCTTAGATGTCGGACAATTATACCACCTTAAATCGGCCAATATTGTCCCAAAAATTAACTATAAATAAGATATATTGTATATTTTGTCATCTTATTATTTTGTTATATTCATAGAGACTAGTTGCCGCCGTATTTATCCCTAAGACTCGAAAGAACGTCAATTCTAGCCTGAAAGGCTTCACAAATATTGCATAATGTCCTTTATGCTGAAAGCTATGGAGTGATTAGATGAGTTGCGTATTCGGGGAGAGGTGCTTTCATAACACGCCTATCAGGTGGAAAAATCTTAAGAGACGGCTCTGATTGCCAAAATAAGCAATGTCATCACTGAGAAGAAATTCGATTTCGTCAAGCGCAAAGTACAGTCAGAAACTGCTGTCCGCTAATGCAACAAAAAACAGTGTTGTGATCTTCACTAGCAAGAGAAGGTTGGATGATAGATTCTCCATCATATCTAAAGGAGTGCCCTTTAACATTTCATATGAAATAAAGTACTAAATATAGAAGTAATTCTGATAATTTCATTGTAGCTTCAGTTTGAGCAAAATACCCTCAAAAACTTGACGGCATTTTGGCAAAATGTGTGGCATGTCATTCATGGGTATTCCCTGGATTTATACCTCAGGAATAAGTTGCTGGTGGCACATATTTGGATACAAGTATTTTTTCAATGTCCCAGTATGGTGCGCCATCATTACTGGCACTGGGTAAGAATCTAGATTCCATGAATATTGAATGTATTGAGGAAAAGCTTTACTTCTCTCTTCAGGAATATGACTCGGTATTCAAAGCCGAGGTAACGGGTGATTTTTTTGAGGTTAGGATTTTCATGCATTAGTATTTGACAGATCACGTGGGATTTCAGACATGGTGTCAAAGAGAAAGATGCTCAGTATGCTTTGACATTTCATCATGAAT